TGTCCCCTTCAGATAAATACCCAGAAGTAGCATTGCTGGATCGATTGTATAGTAACTTTATCTTGAGTGTTTTTAGGAACCTCCATACTGTTTTCCAAAGTGGCTGCACTAATTTACATTCCCACCAACAGTGCAAGGGTTCCCTTTTCTGCACATCCTCTCCAACACTTGTTATTTCTTTACTTTTTCACAGTAGCCATTCTAACAAGTGTGAAGTGATATTTCATTGTGGTTTTGATTTGCATTTCCCTGATGATTAGTGATACTGAGCACCTTTTCATGTACCTCTTGGCATTCTGTATGTTTTTGGAAAAATGTCTACTCAGATCTCCTGCCCATTTTTAAATCAGTTTGTTTGCTTTTTTTCCCTATCAAGTGGTATGAGTTCCTTATATATTTTGGATATTAACCCCCTATCAGATATATGATTTACAAACATTTTATCTCATTCAGTATGTTGCCTTTCTATTTTGTTGATGGCTTCTTATGCTGTGCAGAAGCTTTTTAATGTGATGTATTCCCACTTGCTTAATTTTGCTTTTGTTGCCTTTGCTTTTGGTGTCAAATCCAAAAAATCACCACCATCCAATGTGAAGGAGCTTACCATCTATGTTTTCTACTGGAAGTTTTATGCTTTTAGGTCTTATGTTCATGACTTTAATCCGTTTTGAGTTAATTTTTCTGTATGGTGTAAGATAGTGGTCCAGTTTCATTTTTTTTTCATGTGCTGTCCAGTTTTTCCAATACCGCTTTTTGGAGAGAATGTTCTTTACCCATTCTATATTATTGGCCCATTTGTTGTAAATTAATTGACCATAATGTATGGGTTTACTTCTGAACTCTATTCTGCTCTATTAATCTAAGTGTCTATTTTTATGCCAATACAACATTGTTTTGNATGTCATTTTGATTCTCTGTTGCTCACTTTTTTCTGAGGTGATTCATACAAGGATTAACTTTATCTTTCAGATGAGATATCACCCTTCTAAACACAGAGATGGGTCTTTACTCTTTCAGAGTCATAAATAAAACCCACATGGTAATGTATAATAGCATCATTAAGCTAATAGAAATTCACACCTTTTGTAATCAAGGATCAATGAAAGGGTTTATTCAGAAAAGGGAAAAATATGAATAACCCAGTGCCAATGAGAATATGGTGAATGGAAGGTAGAGGCAAGTTATTTTCTGTATAAATTAAATGGTTGATCAACTGCAAAAGAGGTAATGAAGGCAATATTCTGAAAATGATCCTATGAAACCTGATTTTGCTTATATTATCTGGTTCTATTTATGGTTATAAAATTAAATTTTTCAACACTGAAATCATGAAGTGTAGTGATAAACACTAAAATATTTTAAGTAATTTTTAAATTTTTATGTGGATTTTTTCAGCCACCTACAGATTTCTCTCAGTATATAGAAATGCATGTTATAGTTGAGAAAAATTTGGTAAGTATATTCTGATTTATTTGTCTTATGTCAATTTATATTAGTAATAAGGGGTTATGTTAAAAAGTTGGAATAAATTTTTAGCACAGGACAATAAATGATAATCTTTGTTTTATCTCTGCTTCAAATCTATAGTAAGCTGGAAATCAAATCTCTATAAGTTGATTCTTACTCTTACATAAATAATGAAAATAATTGCTTCCTTTAGGATGGTTTCTTAGTAATTTTTATTCATCCCTCTATTCTCCTAATGTCTGCAACCACTGATTTTTCTACTGTTCCATAGTTTTGCCTTTGGCTGAATGTCCTACAGTTGAAAGATACAGTATATAGCCATTACAAATTGGCTTCTTTACCTTAGTAATATGAACTGAACTTTCTTCCACGTCTTTTCATGGCTTTATAGCTCATTTCTTTTTAGCACTAAATAATAATATTCCATTATAACTTATGTCCACACAAAAACCTGTGCATAAACATTTATAGCAGCTTGGTACATAATTGCCAAAAGTTATTGTCCTTTAGTAGGTGAATGAATAGATAAAACTGTGGTATATCCATATAATGTTGCAATTGGAAAAAGAATTATTTTTTTATTTCTTTTTCTAAAATTTCATTGTTAGCATACAGAAATGCAGTGAATTTTTGTACATTGATTTTATATCTTGCTACTTTACGGCATTTGTTTATTGTTTCTAATCATTTGTTGGTGGGATATTTAGGATTTTCTATATAAAGAATTATGTCATCTGTGAAAAACAACAATTTGACTTCTTTCCCCATTTGATTGCCTTTTATTTCCTTGTCTTTCTTGATTGCTCTGGCTAGGACTTCCAACACTATGTTGAAGAACAGTGGTGAGAAGGGGCATTCTTGTCTTGTTCCTTTTATTTGAGGAAAAGCTTTCAGTTTTTCACCATTAAGTATGATATTAGCTGAGGTTTTGTCATATAAGGGCCTTTATTATGTTGAGGTACTTTTTTAATACTCATTTTATTATGTGTTATAATCATAAATAGATGTTATATCTTATCAAATGCTTTTTTCTGCATCTATTAATATGATTATAGGATTTTTATTCTTTATTTTGTTTATGTGGTGTATCACATTGATTAATTTGTGTATGTGGAACCATTCTTGGACCCCTGGAATGAACCCCATTTGATTGTGGTGTATAATTTTTTTAATGTATTGTTGTATTCAGTTTTCCAGTATTTTGTTTAGGATTTTTGCATCTGTATTCATCAGCGATATTGGTCTGTAGTTTTCTTTTTTTGTGTTATCCTTATCAGGTTTTGGTATCAGGGTAATATTGGCCTCATAAAATGAGCTAGGAAGTATTGCCTCTTCTTNTTTTTTTTCAAAGATCAGTGGACCATAAATGTTAAGGATGATTTCTGCAATTGTAACTAAATTCCATTGGTATTTATATTTACTCTTATGCTAGAACCACACTATTTTTACTACTATACCTTTGAAGTAAGTTTTAGAATTAATAAGTGTGCATTTTTTTATATATTCTTGCTACTATAATTTCCAAATAAATTTTAAAATTTGTTTATTTCAATTTCCTTAAAAAGCCACCTGGGATTGTGTTGATTCTGTAGATTCATTTGGGAAATATTGCCATTTAACAGTACTAACTCTTTTTATCTATAAACCTTGAATAGCTCTGTTTTTAGGTTTTCATTAATATTTTTCTGAATTGTTTTGAATAGTTCAGTCTTGAAGTTAAGTAAACTTCTTTTGTTAAATTATTTTTCTATAAGTTTTATTATTTAAATGCTATTAAACATTTAATTTTTACTTTAAATTTGCATTTCTCATTAATGTTTGAAAATTATTGATTTTTGTATACTGATATTATATTTTGCAAATTTGTTGAAATTGTTTATTAGTTGTTTTTTTTAAAATTTAAGTGTATTGGGGTGACAATTGTCAACAAAGTTACATTGACAAGGTGTACAATTCTGTAATACAGTATCTATATATCACATTGTGTATTCACCACCCAGCATCAGTTCTTTCTATCACCATATATTTGATTATTAGTTTTTTATTGGGCTCTGTGACTTTCAATGTATAAGGTTATGTCATCTTGAATAAAGATAGTTTATATTCTTCCATTTCAATTAGGATAACTTTAATTTCTTTTTTATTGCCTAATTGCCCTGGTTAGCACCTCCAGTATAATGTTGAATAGGTGAGAAGATTTATCCTTGTCTTGCCCCAATCTTAGGAGGAAAGGATTCAGTCCATTACCATTAGGTACAATGTTAGTGGTGAAATAAAATTAAAACCCCCTGGAATTTTTTACTCACTTTACTCTTCAACAAAACTCTCCTGCTTCACATTCTGTCTCACTTTTTCTGACTTATCCTTACACACTTAAATTCTAGATATTGATATTTCCTATGTTATGCCTCAGGTTTTTGTTTATTTGCTTTCTTTATTTTTCCATGGCTTTATCTATTGTGATTCACAGATCTCCCACTCTCAAACTTTTTCCTGAGTATTGATTCCATATTGGGCATAGTGGTTGCTCAAGTTAAACAAAATACACTAACATATTGTCTACCTACTTGTCTATTTATCTATTCTCTATCTATCTATCATCAAGTTCCTTCTCACTCTGAATATTTTTACCAGTGACCTTTGACATCTTTTAAATTTAACTCTAACCCATCTATATTGCAACTGTATCATTCAGCAGTGTTCTCTAATCTTCTTGCCTAGATCCAATGCTTTAGTATTTACTTGACCAAAGAGAACTTTACTGCAATTGAAGTCATCTTTATATAACACATATCTAAGCAATAGATATGTTAAATTTCAAAAGACCTAAAAAGCCACTTTATGTAGTAAGAGAATGAGTCCTTATAAGGAGACATCCTATATGGAGACTTCTTATATGGCCCCATTCTTATTGTCTCCTTATATGACTCCAATAAGATGTCTCCTTATATGGCCCTATTCTCTTGCTGTACAAAATGGCTTTTGAGGTCTTTTGAAATTTGATGCTTGCTCACCTTTCAACACACACACATTTCCTGGCATTCTTTTATTCACCCTTATCTTAGATTTATTTATTTGACTAAAATAAACTATGTATTTTTTCTCCATAAAATTTTATTGTTTATTAAATGAGCAAGTAAATTATTAAATAAATATCACCAATTCCAATTTCAAAGATGAAAATGAACAAGGATGACTTCAGGGAATGTTAGATAATTAACATTTGTGTTGTTTAAGACAGAGAAATAGTTTTGAATCCCTCAATCCATTAATACATTGTTTGTCTCAATTAATTTAAGTGTTTTTGCTTATCCTCCAGTAGTGTTATTTCCTTTTTTTTTTTTTTTAGGGACTTTAATGAAAGGATGGAGTCCTATAAGCAAACTATTATGAAACATTTGATGCTTAATTTTGAATGGAATTGATAAGAAACCAGGTAGACCATAAGGTTATTTCATTTGCATTTTTTTTAACAAAACCCTGAAATCTCCAAGGCTTGGGCCAATAAATAGAATTTTAAAATGGGGAAAGATGAGTGATCAATAATCAGCCCTAAATCTGTCTTACTGTCCTTTCTCAACTTATCTTTTCCTTTAAATTACCACAACCAACACTATAGATGGATTAGAGTTAAATTTCTGTTCTCTACAAAATCCCAGATTTCTTGTTTTCTCTTTAATTGCTCCTTTTAATATGTTAAGGAAAATGGTTTAAGTAAATGGCATAGTTTTCAACTTCAATGTAAAGAAAAAATTCAGGCATTAAAATAAACATAAAAGTTTCCTCAGTTTCTGAAATTTTATCCTTTTCTGCTTCTAGATATTTGTCCAAAGTTTGTAAATTTTAGTAACAAGGTATTTTGAATCATCTATACCAGGGTTCTAGATGCTAGAGA